GGCGATACTGGGAGGGTAGAGGGAGGGTGGGTTGGAAAGGGGGAACCAATTACAAGGAACTATATGTGACCTCCTTCCTGGGGAACGGACAACAGAAAAGTGGGTGAAGGGAGGCGTCGGACAGTGAAAGATATGACAAAATAATCATTTATAGATTATCAAGGGCTCATGAGGGAGTGGGGAGCGAGGAAGGAGAGGGAAAAATGAGGACCTAATGCTGGGGGCTTAAGTGGAGAGCAACTGTTCTGAGAATGATGAGGGCAATGAATGTACAAATGTGCTTTACATAATTGATGTGTATGGATTGTGATAAGAGTTGTATGAACCCCTAATAAAATGATTTTAAAAAAAGGAAGAAAAAAGAAAAAAAATTCCCGGTATCAAAACAAAACAAAAAACAACTTTATGGAAAGCCATGCCATATTCATCATGGAATAAATTAGATTTTTTAAAATGGACTTTAAGATCCCCATAAGTACTAGAGAGAAAATGACTGAATTTTCAAAACAAAACAAAATAAAAAGGATTCATATGGATCCTTTGTTAATATATATGAGAAAAAAATGCAAAGATGCCCTTTGAGGCCCTCAGCCAAGCCATGGCATTTTTAATTGCCTCATATGTCTGTGAATGCCGGATGATGAGTAATGAATAAGAAAGACGGAAGAATCAACGCATTTGAATGAGGGTGTCCAGAAGTGAGGTTGGAAAGACTTGTCTCACCCACTTTGGACACGGGATCCAGAGGGACCACTCCTTGGAGGACATAGCGCTTGGTTAGGGAGACCATGAAAAGGACGGCCCTCAATGAGATGGAGGAAGACCGTGGCTGCAACAATGGGCTCACAGATACCGCTCCTCGTGAGGGCGGCCCAGGCCCAGGCAGGCTTTGTTCTGTTCTCCTTACGGTCTCTAGGAACCTGAACTGAGTCCAGCACCAAACAAGATCCCTATAAAGAAACTAGATGGTCATCATTCTACCCAAGACATATGTTTTCAAGACCGTGTATCATACAGTTCCACCTCTCAAGTATTAAAAACCAAGACTTGCGTGTATATGATACAAGAACAATTAGGGCTTTTAAACGCTATCGCCAGTAATATCCTAAAGTGTCACCAGATGGCGCTGTGACAACACCAAAGTAAATCTCCAAAACTAACTTT